TGGGGGCATGGCCTACCCAGCTCATCCCTTCTCTCTCTGCTTCTTGGCCACCACAAATTGAGTACATTTTCCTCAACCATCCTCCCCTATCATTCTGTTTCTGTCTTGGAGCCAGAAACTATGTATTGAAACTGAACCAAATAAATTTCTCGTTTCTAAGTTGTGGGTGTTGGGCATTGTGTCCCAGCAACAGCCAAGGAAGACAAAGGGTGGATTTGCATTATGCCTCATAAACCTGAATTTTTTAATAAACCTGAATATTAAAAGATACACAGTAAACCCTTGATTTACAAACATCTGTGCAGCAAACTTTCAGATATGAATAGCCCTCATATTACAATCATGGAAGTAGCTCACATGCTTGCCAGACATTATTGTAGTTGTGCTGCTGTGCACTCACTGTACAGTGAGACTGTACACAGTAGAACAGTTTTAAGAGTCCAGGATGTCTAGAAGCAAGAGGATATGGATGGAACTCCTAAGAAATGGAAAGAAATATACAATATGTATTTGTGTCAAAGGTATGTAAGACTGTTGGACTTACAAATGAATGTGACTTAAATATTCTTCCAGAACAGAAATAGTTTGTAAGTTGGAAACTTAGTATTTTCAGTTTTCTGGAGAAACAGAAACACAGGATAGACAGAAACATATCAGAGGGGTTTATCATGGAACTGACTCATAATTATATTGGCCAAAAAGTTCCATGGTGTGCTGCAGCTGGAGAACCAGGAAAGCTAATGGTACAGTTCAGTCTGGAGTATGAAAGCCTACAAAGGGAGCCAAAGATGTAACTCAGCTCATGGGCAAATTTCTGAGAATCTGGGGCCACTGATGTGGATCTTGTGAACTGAATGCTTGAGAACCTAGATTTTAATTTCTGATGGCAGGAGATGGACATTCTGCATTTAAAAGAGAGAATATTTGTCTTTTTGTTCTCTCCAGGACCTGGAGAGATTGGATGAAGCAAAGTCACATTGGGATGGTGAATTCTCCTTAGTATGCTGATTCATATGTCAAATTCTTTCACAAATACAAATGCACCCAGAATTCATATTTTACCAGTATCTGAGTAATTTTTAACCCAGTGATGCTGACACACAAAATTAACCATGAGGAAGATATAAAAAAATTTCTTAGTTTGTACTCTTTAGGAAAAAGGTTAATGGAGAATTGAAATATTAATATTTTCAAGTGAAAGTTCAAACAAGTGACAACAAGCATAAGAAGCCAAGCAGAGGCAAAATATGAAACAAGCTCAAGCTGAACAGTCACTGTTTCAGTGAGTCATTTATTTTCATTGTAAGTGGATTTACACATCATGAGGTATTACCTCAGACTTATGCAAGAAGTCTCAGAGCAGTACATAGAGAGAAAACATCCTCCTCATCCATATCATTGTGTAGATGTCAAGAAAGCTAATGTGTATCTGTGCCTCGCTGCGGTATTTTGTTTCCCACTGGTTAATTTTCCACTGCAAAGACTCTCTTCTGAGCTGTTCCCTTCAGGAGCTGCTTAAGATGCCAGATCTTATGTCCTGCTGTGTGGCATTTAATCTAAATGCACAAGTGGCAGTGGGACCAGAATCTTCAGATAAGAATGCACCGATCAGTCTAGCTTCATGATTACAAAGGGATATGCTCAGCACCCTGCTTGCAGGTGATTTGTGGCCTTAGAGGCAGAAGTGAGAAGGTTCAAAACAAGTCAAAAGCTACAGATCAATACAAATATAAGCACCGTGATGAGTCTTTTATTTGATGGAAGAACTCAAATTCATTTGAGGAGTAAATAACATTAACTTTAGATACAGGTGGTATAGAATAAGAAAATAATTGTAGGTGAGAAAGCTGTGCATTGCAGATAGCAAGTAACACAAAAATTGATCATTGTTTTCTTTCTCTTCTAAATGAATGTCAATGGAATAGAATTGAATTAATCAGTATTGCAGATCATGAACACTGTATTCATTACACTAAGCATAATCTTTATTAAATTTGAAGTTTATTGGGATATAATTGGCATGTAATTGCACATATTTAAGGTGCAGAATTTGGTAAATTTTCAAATATTTATGCATCCATAAATCCCCCCAAACAATATATTCATTGTATTAGTTTCCAAGAGTCACTGTAACAAAGTACTACAAAGTATCTTATAACAGAAATGTATTGTCCAACAGTCCTGGAGGCTAGAAGTCCAAAGTCAGGTGTCAGCATTGTTGATGTCTTCTCTGGGCTCTGAGGGGGATTTTGCTCCATGTCTCTGCCCTAGCTTCTAGTGAGAGCCTAAAAACTTGGCATTCTATGGCTGGTAGATGTATTACTCCAATCTCCAACTCAATTGTCACTTGGTATTTTCTTTGGGTCTTTGTGTCTTCATATGGGCTCTTTCCACAGGAGGCCAGTAATCTTGGAATAGGGCTCATACTAATGACCTGATTTTAACATGATAGAAGTCTGTAAAGACTCTATTTCCTTTGCATGGTATCCACCATTCCTCTAAATGTCCTCAGGCTGAAGCTCCAGTGGCGCAACCGGTTAGTGCATGGTACTTATAAATGTCCTCAGGCTTCTTTTCCTCCATTTAGATGATCTTCCCATCACCAGGTAACTAACACTAATTTATTTAATTACAATTCATGTCTTCCAGAATTTTATAAAAAGGGAAAACATAACCTATACAGTCATCCCCTATTACATCTGGAGAATTGATCTAAGAATCCTCCACTTCTACCTCCTATAGATACTTAAAACTTTTGAATGTTTATGTCTTTTTTTTTCATTTATATATTTGGTGCAGGGTCTCACTAAGCAGCTCAGACTCATAGTGATCCTCCTGTTTCCAGCCTCCCCAGTGCTGGGATTACAGAGGTACTCCACCATGCCCACACTCAGTCACTGGCTCAGTGGCCCCAGAGGCAGGGCCAGCAAGGCATGCTGGACCTGGGATGAGATTTGGGTGGGGGGAACAACTAGACACAAACTATAACAATGTCCTTTATATAAAATGGCCTAGTATTTGTATAACACATATCCTCTTGCATACTTTAAATCATCTCTACTTATATTAATACCTGACAATGTAAATGTTATATATTTATTTTGGTAGTACTAGGGTCCAAATTGTGGACATAGCAATACCCCTACTTCCTCCAAATATTTTCAGTCCAAGGTTGAATCCACAGATGTAGAATAGATACTGAGTGACAACTGTACTTTGTGTTTTTGTGAGGTCTAGCTTCCTCAGTATGATTACTTATGAGATTTATTCCAGTTGCATAAATTAACTCCTTTTTATTATTGAAAGGTATATCACAACTTATAAATTTACTTGTTGATAGAATTTAGGTTTCCAGTTTGGAGCTATTTCAAATAAAACTACCAGGAATAGGAGAGTTCAAGTTTTTGTACTAGTATAAACATATTTTATTTTTCAACATCTACAAGTGGAATGGCTGAGTCATAAGGTGGGAATCCATTTAAGAAGCAGCCATACTGTTTTCCAACAGTAGCTGGAACATTTTTACATTCTTACACAAAATATATTAAAGTTCTGGGTTTCTTTACATGCTGGCCAACTCTTGGAATAGTCAATATTCTTGATTTTAGGCTTTCTAACCACAAGTTATTAAATGTGGTTTTAGTATGCATTTTTCTAATAACTAAAAATGTTGAATCCCTTTCCTCTGCTTATGATGTCATTAAGTACTATAACTGTTTAAATTTTCAGGGGGCCTGTCCCTTAGCTCAGTTCTTTAGGTGGCTGCTTCGACAAAGCAGTCAGGCTCAGGTTGCTGTGGTTCGATCCCCACAACTCCAGCCAGCCAAACCTGCCCTGAAGGCATTCGGAGCAATAAATAAATAAATAAATTTTCAGCATATTGTAGGCTGTCAGTTTCTACACACACACACACACACACACACACACACACAACGATCTTGATAGGGGATTGTGTGGAATCTACGTATCAGTTTGGGGAAAAAACAAAAAATTTAACAAAATCAAATTTTCTACCAAACATGGTATCTGATTTTAAATATATTATCTTTAATTTCTTTCACCAATGTTTTGTAGCTTTCAGTGTGCAGACCCAATTTTTTGTCAAATGTATTCCAAAATATTTCGTTTAATATTAATAAAATTGTATTATTTCAAATTTTAATTGTTTTCTGCTAATACTTTTCCCCCCAATATTGACCATGCAACCCTGTAACGTTCACTTAGTAGTTTTAACAACTTTTTAAAAGAATACAGCAGATTTTTTACATAGGCGCAAGCCTTGTGTGTCGCAAGCCTTCGACACACATTTTTCTACTTCTCCATCTTTCTATTTCTAGAATTTTTTGAAGCACAGTTTCTAGTAGGTGCTTCACGCATAAATATGTTATATGCTCAAGACAGCATTGTATTTACGTACCACGGCTTTCACTAATACATATTAGAGCCTCCTCCTCTCAGGAGAGACATTTCCAAATCAGGCTTCAGGTTTGCACAAAAATAATTCGCCAAGGTGGTTAATTCACGTACTCTTTTGCACGGATGTCACTAATTTCTCTCTCTCCTCTCAGGTAAAAATTTCGTTTTTTGAACATACTGTTCCTTTAAGTCCACTCCACAGAGTGCAGGAAGGTGGAGAGAGCCAGCCTTCTTCAGCACTCAAGATTTTCAAACGTGGGGACTTCTGACAGAAAAATCGAAGCGACGGCCGTGGGGTTCCTGAGAGCCCACAAAGGCCCTTAGCTCCTTCCAACCCTTCACAGTTCGCCCTTCCCTACCTAGTCCTCTCGGGCTCCGATAGAAAACGCTGCGTTTCCGTAACGCCACCACACAGGTGCCTCTTCACAGTCACCTGCCTCAGCAGAACTGAAATTCCGGAAGCTTGGGGGGGGGGCGCGACTAGAACGGCAGCGAAGCTCCGCGTGCGCGCTGACGTCACTCCGACGCTGTGCGCTGGCCCCGCCCACGGCACGGTCACACAGTTTCCGGTAGGGGTTGCGAGGTTGTTGTGTGGGGCAGAGCTTAGCGCGGAGCTCTCTTCCGGTGTCTGTCAGCCGCGATGCCTCACTTGGAGAGCTTGGTGCTGTGTCGCGAGGCCCAGGTGTCCACCTTGCAGACCCTGTTTGGAGAGGTATTGAGACCCGACTCGCCTCCCCGAGGCGTGTGTCCTGCGGGCGGCGCGGGGATGGGGGCGCGCGGATCGACTTCTGCTTTGTTACGGGGTTTTGGAGGGTCAGCCCCACACTCTCATTAGTACTTTGCACTGGAAGGGCAGGGGATGTGGCCAGAATGTGTTCTTCACACATGCCATGCTTTCGAGGTGATGTTAGCCCAGAGCGGCCCCCAGAAGTGCCACGTTTCCTTACCCCAGACGAACAGGGTTTTATACAACAGGTGGGCTTGCAACGGAGTGTTAAGTTCACACGTTTCTGTGAGGTAGTTGGTGGGAATCAAGCACAGAGATGTGGTTTGTTTTCAAGGCCACTGAGGACCTAAGCAGTGCGTGAAGCTTAAAAATCCAGCAGCTTTTACGGAGCTGCAGAAGCCTAAGTCTAGGCTCCTTCCTGTCCTTGACTGCTAGTGCAGGGGATGCCTTAGGAGAGAGGTCATCCTCTGTGGATGGACACAGCTGTGGAGTCCTTAGCCCAGGCGTGCGTACTGCTGGCCACTTCACAGCCTTACCTATTTGTTACTATTTTCTGGTGTGCCTTTTGCTTCATACTCATCAATTACAATTCAGACTTGGAAGGAAATAAAAAGAACTAAGACAACATTGTGTACGCGGACCTACTTCCCACGATTACTGTAATCATCATGTACTGCAAACATGTACTAATACAAAAGGAAGGCAAAAAAGAAAATAGATCTTATCAAAGAAAACTAACCATCTTCTGGTTTGCTTTCTCATTGTGTTTTGATTCAACTAAAAATGCTGGCTGGCTGTCAGTCTTGAGGTGTCCTGTGCAGGATTAGTGGAAGAGCGCGAACCTCTATCCAAAGGGACACAGTAATTAAAGTGACTCCTAGTTGCATTTTCAGGCAGTTGTTCAATGTTTTAAATTATAGTTATCTGTCTTATCGCTGAAATATTTTCTGTGGATTACTTTCCTGGAATTGAGAGACCCAGATCACTGGAAACCAAAAGTGGACCTCCTGAGAGAAAATTTTGGCAAATAGGGAGAGTAGTGGATCATAGGAAGGGTTTAGATCTTTGCTTTTACTGCCTACCATGATTAACAAACTGAAAGCACTTCCAGGTGCCATGCATGTGGAAAATCCAAAGAACTAATAGTAAAAAAAAACTGGTTTTTATCTCTATGAAAATTCATTTATTTTTTCAAGAAATATTTACTGAGCATCTGTTTGGTATCAGGCACTGTACCCTACTTTTCATGGACGTGTATAAAAGTGAAATTGATTTTATAAAGGTGAATTTCACCTTTTATAAAAGTGAGTGTGAGGTCATTACAGTTCTAGAATACAATAGCAAAGATTTTATAAGTTGGGATATTAGGCACCAAATAATATCGGATATAGACAAGTGTGACAAGATTCCAAAACTGATGGATGTGTTGAACTTGCAAAGAGCTTGTGAAGCATGGTCATGAACTTTTCATTAAAGGTGAAAGGTAATATTTGGATAGCCTAAATATTCAGCAATAGTATATTTAATGCTTGAAACATTTTTTGAGACAGTTAATATATAAGATTGTCACATGATTGAAAGGATTCAGTATTAAAATACTGATAAGTAAGTTTTGTCTTTTTTTTTTTTTTAATAACTGGGTTGTTTTTGCTGTGTTATATGCCATTTGGAAGCTTTTTCCTTAGACATTTGAGTTCCCGATTTGTTTTCTAAAAAGTGTATAACTTGAGACTAGAATATAATAAATGTCTTCAACTACTATTGCTGTGGTACATATGATTAGAGACTTAACTTTCTTGTGGAAGTAGCATCATTGAGTTTTCTTATATTTTTAAACTATCTATATCCCCACTTTGTGCGCTTCAGTGCATTATGGTTAAGTCTTTAGTAAGAATTTCATAATGTCTTCTAATGAATGAAATGTGTAGTATTGACCAGACCAACAGAAATTCTTTGAAAATTGTTACTTTAAGCTTATAATTTAAAGTACTGCAGACGGATCTGGTGAATGTGTATTTCTATCTATTTCATTTTTGCAATGCTAGACATCAAATCGAAACCCTCAGGCATGTTTTGCAAGTACTCTACCGCTGAGCTACAGCCCCTATTCCTGTTATGTATTTTAAAATATGTGCTATGCGAAATTTATTGCTATTTGCTTCTCTGATGAAATGTACACATTTGTGCCAAGATCAGTATGTGCATAATTCAGAAGTATTTAATAAGTTTTCCTAAAAATGAAGACTCGTGAAATGTCTTCTAACCTTGTGACCATATATGCTTAGTTTTGAATGTTAAAATGAATAAAAGTATTAAGACAAAAATGGAAAATAGATAAAATTTTCCTTGAAAACTCCCTTAAGTTTAGAAACTTGAGAATTTTTGTACAAGGGTTTGTGTATGCAAGCCAGGATGATAATGAAAGAGTAATTAGTAGCATATCTTATTATAATACTATATATGGTATATATACATTTATTGTTTTACAGGAGAATTTCATAGCAGATAGTGCTTAGAATTGAATTTAAGTTTAAAATGTTATGAATCCACTATGTATTTATTGTTGGAATATTTTGGATTGAATATTTTACTGTGCCACATCAAATATTCTCACAAGTTGGTAAGTGTGTTTTTTGTTTGTGCAAATTAGTATTTTTCTTTCTCTCCTAGAGAAATCATTTCAGCTTTCCTTCGATTTTCATTTATGGACATACTGCCAGTGGAAAGACCTATGTAACACAAACATTGTTGAGAACTTTAGAGGTAAGAATAACCCCAAAGTCAAGGTTCAGTTAAGTAGCCTGTATGCATAGATTCCTAGAAATGGAAGGGAGCT